GTGGGCGGGGGACTCCCCTGCCCTGGCCAGCAGTGGGCAGAGTCATTTTTGGGTGGAGGGTGTAACTTTAGCCACTCTCACCCCTCCCATGAGGCCCTGTTCTTTCTTGCCTGGGGGGAATATATGGGAGAGGCATCAGGAAGGAGCAGGGTGGGCTCTGGCTTCCTCTCCTCCTCTTGCTGAAGAGCTTGGTGGATTGTTCTCTCTTCTCAACTCCAGGGGGAGTTTGTGGCGGGGAAGTACCAGTGCCTCCTGTGTGAGAAGGAGTTTGTGTCAGAGAGTGGCGTCAAGTACCATATCAACACGGTGCATGCGGAGGTGAGGCATGGCAGGAGAGGAGAGCCTGCTTCACAGGCCCGGGGCCTTTTCCTGTCCTCCCCCTGCTTGCTGGGGTGGGGCTGAGGAGACCAGCTTGCCAGTAGGTTCTGTGTTGTGCCTTTCCCCCTTAGGACTGGTTTGATGTTAATAGGGGCACCACCAAGAGCTTTGAAAAACAGGTGAAGCAGCAGCGGCAGCAACAGAAGGAGGCAGAGCAGAAAAGGCAGTGGAAGAGACCTCTTTCAAGCCGGAGCCGCAAGAGGAGGAGACCGAAGCCGGTTTCTCCAAAAAAGCCTCCCAGGTCAGAGCAGAACCAGCCGCAGGAGCTCCTCGGGGCTGGCCAGCCTCAGTCAGCAATTCGTGACAGCCAGAGCAGCGGAGAGGAGGAGGAGGTCCCTCTCCTCAGGCTTCGCAGCCGTGAAATACAGGAGGAGGAGGAGGAGGAAATAGCTGTGGGTGCAAACTCTGTGCGAAGCAGGGAGCTTGTTTAGGGGCCTCCCTCTCTCCCCTTCTCCCTCTCTCCCCTTCGCGGGTGGCTGACTCCCCAGCAAATGTACTTGCCATGCACAGCTCCCAAAGTCCCAAGGCTGTGGCTTCCTTTATTGCGTTGTTCCCTCTCTGAGGCAGAGAAGCAGTGAATGCAAAAGCCAGCAGCGGTCATGTGGCCATATGTGCCGCAGAGGTGGGTGAGCCTTTTTGCCAGGCACACAAGCCACCCCTGTCTCTGGTGGCTTTGTGCCCCTTGATCAGCCATGACTGTGGGTTTTCCTTTCTGAGCAGCTCCTCTGCAGCTCTAGCTGGAACATCAGCTCAAGGGACTCTTGCCCGGGTCAGTGCAGGCCCCCACCCCCACCCCTCGTCTTGAAATGCAGATGCTGGTGCTCACAGGCAGGGTGAGGTGAAAGAATGGCCTCCTTCGCAGTCATTGGTTTAGCCCTTTGTTGGCCGCCTCAGAGGCATAACGCAAGGAGGGAGCCCATGCATCCACTCCTCCCCCCCCCGCGGGTGGCTGACGCCCTGCATGGAAGGAGAGCTCATGACACACTTTTCCACATTGACAGCAACTGTGGCCGTGTGGCACATGACACCAGGCTCTCACAAAAAGCTGTCCTACATCCCAGCAAGCAGAGGTTCTTTCTCTCAGTAAAGTCCCTACACAGTGTTGCCATGATGAGCAGTAAGGAAATGTGAAGTTTACCTAAATACATGGATGTGGTATGCAGTGTTCTGCTTGATTCACTGGAGTTTCCTGTGTGCATGGAACCTTTGCATCCCGCAGGCCTCAGTCCAAGACCAGTTTTGAGATCAGTGAAAGAAGGGGGCGAGGGAATATCCTGCTGGGGGCGCCTGCTCAGAAAGGATTGTTCATACAAATGATTTCTGTTCTCTCTGTGACTAGACAGGCAGCCACCGTCATAGGAAGCCCACAAGCAGCACTCAAGCCCTGCAGGGCCCTCTCTGCATGTGGCCCAGTAGCTGAGATTCAAAGATGGACTGGCTCCGAACTTGTATGGAGGAGCCTATTCCTCGGGCACAGTGGCCACTGAACAGTGGTTACGTTCTCTCGTTTCCCTTCCAAAGTGTACTATTTGGCAGCCATATTAGCAAATCTCTCCATTTGTGTGAAAAAAAAGGACTGGTTTCTCCCTCCTCCCTCGTCTGTCAGTGGAGGACCCCCCTTCCCCCTGGGCTGCACACAGAGATCTGTCTCAGCAGGCAGTGGTGTGGTACTTGGTTTATTTATTTCTCTATTTGTTTATTAATTTATTAGTTTATATACCACATTCCAGTAAATTAAGTGTAACCCGCAAAAGGTACCAGGGAGAGAGAATCACTCAGCCCCATGAATAATGCGGTAACCCCCTGGCATGAGAACTCGTGGTTATGGGCTGTCAAGGCTGCGGCTTGCTTTAGGGAGTCAGGCCAGCTCCTATTCATTCTTCCTCTTTCCCCGGCTGTCTTTGGGAACTGTATGTTCTGGTCTTGTCAGTGGAAGACAATCCTTTCATGTAGCCCTAACAAGTTTGTTTTTCCAATCTCATTTGGTGCCTATCAGGAGAACTGCAGTCAGTTGGAACAAGGGCCAGGCCAGCTCGGTTGGGACCTGTCTTGGAAATGGGGAGCAGGATACCCCTGTGCTGATTGGGACAAGCTGGGTCATCTCTCGTGTGCCTTCCTGATCAACACAGGGATTGAACACTGCTGGGGAGATCCTGGCCAAGATTGTTCTGTAATACAAGACCCTCTCTTCTGCTGCTCCTTTTTAGCTCCTAAATGCAAATTGTTATGTTTCGGTGGTGGTTGATTGTCTTTGTTATTTAGGATCTGCCTCTTCAAGAATTTTCTTCTGCTACACCAAACGTTCTTAGCCAAATCCTGTTCTGTTTCTTACTAGTTTCTTTGAGCAGTTAATGCGTTTATAGGGTATGGATCTTAATGCATTAGGTAATGACCCATCATCAGTTGGAATTGAGGCATATAATAAAGCAGCACTCCCTTGGACTGCCGTTCTAGCCTTCAGCCAGTCCTTCTGGGCGAGAGGCTCCCCAGCATCCTCTGAATCTAGCACGTGAAAGACCTTTGTTGAGACTTGGGTGTGGGTTGGGGCACACTCCAGTTTGTATTTCTCCATTCATTGTGCCCATACTCCACCTTCAACCTTTCTTTCCAGTCATTTACCCGTGTAGTCTTATCCTTCCCTGCTGTTTTTATTCATCACTTTTTAAAAGCACCATGCACAAAAGTCACTAACATTGACAGGGCAGAAAAGCTGATGGAGTTGGTTTGTAGTCCCCTGTGTGTGTGTGTGTGCATGTGTGTGTGTGCGCACATGTGTGTGTATTTATGTGCAGAATGGCATAGCAGAGAGTCTTGCCTTGAATAAAGTTATTTATGAATAAAGTTATTTATTTTGCAAAACCTGGATTCACATTTGATTCATGTGAATCAATTATTTCTTTTCTCAAGTAGTGTATATTTACATAGTCCAAAAATTATAACAGCTGTTCATTCCTTATTACCTGTGCAAGTTGCTTTTAAATTAGTTGCAGGTAGCCTCTGGATTTTCAGAGCTCATTAATCCTATTAACCGTTTCTTTTTCTGTTTTCTCTCACCCATGAGAAAACAGAAAACACCCATATATCCATGCTGACTCTTGTCATTAGGCAGTGTATCTTCATTCTGTTGCTTCATTCTGCTGCTCTTTCTTTCTGTTGCTCTTACTGCTACTGCTGCTTTTTACTGATCATACTCAGAGATGCTTCAGTGTTTCTCAAGGTCAATGAACTCATTAATCTCACCTGCCTGTCTTTCCCTCTTGTAACTTTACTGAGCAGAAATGCTTTTTGCAAAATATAACTCCAACAAAAGCAGTCCTTACTCTTGCAAACTGTGCATTGTAAAACAAAATTTAAACATTGATAACATGTTATGCAAACACTGCACACACAACCAACCTATATGTATAAAGCTTATTAGGGTTGTCAACTGGGAATGGGCTAAAATGAGATCAGGTTCATATACTTACATTTTTAAAAGCAAAAAAAGTTACAAATGTTTTAAGGAAAAAACACTTGGTGTTTTCTGGAATCTGTGAGGAATCATCCTCCGAGAGGCCTGCCATGTTTCAGTGCCAAGATCCAGTCCTGGTGGCTTAATTGCGGCTACACTGGCAGTCCCTGATTAAATCTCTGCCACCAAGCTGTGCCAGGAACTAGAAACGGGTTGGGTGGGGGTGGGGCCCAGGCCCCATAACACACCTGAGAGATTTTTGGCCTTTGTTCCTGCTGAAGCTTTCTGAGATCCGTGAACTGAAGGGTCTTAGTGTCCTGTCACCTCAGCCCAGCGTAGCCATGGTCTGTCCTTTCCCAAGTGAATGTGGTTGTTTTGGGAGCCCTCGGGACTTGGCCAAGGTGGCCATAGCCAGGGTCACAGGCACACACACACACACACACACACACACACACACACACACCCCAATCCACCCACCTTCCTACTGAGGCCTGCACAACCTGGTGCTGACCTCACAATGCCCCGTGTCTAGCAACAAGATAAAGAGGGTCCTTAGCCTGTTCCATTGCTAGAAAGACCAGGCAAGGCGGAAGGACTTGGATGCTGCCTAGGCCCAGGTGCCTTTGGGGTGCTGGACCCTTCCCTCTCATCTCCCAAGGGTGTCCGAGATCTCCCCCCTCCCTGCAGCAGATTGACAGACACATCATTACTCCCTGGTGGAACCGTTTGGAAGTGGGACTCCTGTTGCCCCCTCCCCTGCCTCTGCCTGCAGCTGGTGGGCCCTCCTGACTGATCCAGGCATAGCCGGATCCAGGGTCTTTGTACCTCCTCTCTTTGTACCCTGGAAAAGGAGAGATGCAGCAGCCCAGGGTTCCTGCCCAGGGTTTTGCTAATGAGCAGCAGAAGCCCTCCAACTTGTCCCGCTCTCCTCCCCTGAGCCGGGGCAGTGGCGCAGTGGTAGAGTCCCCTCTCCTGGACCCTCTCCTGCTTCACCAGGAAGCCCAAGGGTGGCTGGACGCTCACATCCAGAGGAAGTGGCTGCAGCTGCTGTGGGGGCTCCCACACCCGGTCCATCGCTCTCTGGAGCAGTCTGTCCCAGTCCTTCCCAGGTTCCTGGCCTGCACCACCCTTCAAGAAGCCACAGGCCAGCAGAGGCCCCTTTTCAAGGCAGAACAGCGGCAGGACCTGGAACACCATCTGAGAGAAAAAATGGTGCATCGTAAGTGGGGCCTCCCAAGGAGGATCCAGAGGGCTCTCCGGTGGCCTCTTTCTCTTGAGCTGCCCTCTGCTGCCCCAGAAGCTCAATGGGAAAGGCCCCCTCTCAAAGGCTGGAGTGCCACTAGACAATGTAACCCAGCCACAACATGGACTACTCCTGCCAGGACAATGGCGGCTGATGGCAGCTGGAGCTTGCCAAAAGCAGCTCCTGGTGCAGAACTGGCCAAGGAGCCCTCCCCTCTGAGTGCCAGGCCTTTGGTCATGCAGCAGGAAGCTCTCCTGGGGGCAGAGAGAGAACAGCAGGGTGGGGATTGCCCCCAGGAGGGTCTGCCTTTTTTCAAACTATCTTGTTCACAGTCACCTCCAGGCAGCATCCAGGCTGCCCCATTTGATGGTCTCTGGAGCACACCTGAGGTAAAGGGCCTTTCTAGATGGAACCGGCAGGACTGGGAGAGGCAACTGCTCCACAGGGATATGCTCTGCATGATCGGTGAAGCCTCTTCCCCGGGGAGCCTTTCTTTTGCAAAAGCCACTTCTCTGAAAAGAAAGCCAGCCATAGGCATGAAAAAGCAGAAGCTGGAGGTTTCTCCCCTGGGGGTCTCTGAGGTCACGGACGACCTGGGATGGCTGTTGCAGGCTGGCCAAGGTGGTGCTTCCAGGATGACCTTTGTCCCAGCAGAAAAGAGGGTCTCCGGAGCTCCCGAGAGATCCTCGGTGGCCTTTTACCTACAAGAACAACCAACTTTCCAACAAGAGGGACCCAGGACACTCCAGCTTTCAAAATGGCTGGAAAGGGGCCAGAAGCAGGTGGACTCAACTGAATCCCAAGAACTCAGGGCTTCTCCAGGCCCTCAGACAATGGACCCCAGGCAGCTGTTGTTACCCCTAGTGGGGAGGGACCTGGGGCTTCTCCACCAAGAAAGCCCTGGTCCCGCTGGCCGAGCCTCCTGCGCTCTTGGCCAAGAAGACGCTCGGGAGCCCCAATCCATGAGCACCCTGGAAGATCCCTCCCGCAGGCCCAACCTGGCTAGGACCAGGTCGAGGGTAACGGTCAAGGGGGAGGGTTTGGGCAGCCAGGCTGGATCTTTCCCTGAGGGAAAGGGGACGTCCCTGACCCACTCGGGGGCTGGGCCAGGAGACGAAGGCAGCAAAGCACATCGTCTGACGGATGACCGGAAACGTTACTTTGAATTTCACCTGCGAGAAAAGCTCCTGCACCAACGCTGGGGGGTCCCAAGGCGGGTGCAGGAGGTTCTGCTGCAACCCACTAGACCATGATGGCTTGCTGTCTGTTGCCATGGCAAATCCCCCTGCTTCTAACCAAAAAGTTGTTGGGGTCAGGGCAGGGCTGCAGATGCCATCCTTCTCTTTTGTGGCTAGAAAAGGGATGGGTGGCCAAGCCTTTCCTGCTGAAGGTGCACTTGAAACAGTCCTCAAAGCTATCTGCTTCCACTTGGAGAGAGTTTCTGTTGAAACGAAACAGCCCAGGCATGAGGGGTGCAACATCCAAGAGTAGATGCCAAGTTGGGTACTTCTAATTGAAAATAAAATTGGTTACTTACTTACTTTGTTTGTTTGTACTCTGCTCTTCTCCTTAAAAAAGGACCCAAGGCAGCTAATATGATTACAAAGACAATATCTGAAAGCTATATAACTATTAAAAAGGAAAGAAATATACATTTTAAAATGTTAGATAAAATCATTACTGAAGGAGATTTAAAATAAAAAATACAAACCATCCCATTTTAAAACCCCTCTCAGACAGCCAGTCACTGAGAGGAAATTTGCCTGAAGAGAAAAGTCCTTCCCTGCTTGTGGAAGGAAAGTCGGGGCCCTTCTGGCCTCCAGTGGGAGGGAATTCCAAAATCTGGGAGCAGCCACAGGGAAGATGCTCTGCTGTGTCCCCTGCCCCCAGCTTCCCCACCCCACCCCTTGCTATGGCATATTTCCATAACAGTAGGATTTGAAACAATACCAAGGAAATTCTAGGCAAGCTGTAGGCTTATTTACAAGAAGATAAGTTTATTGCAAAACACAGATGTGCCCAATAGGTTGGAATGGCTGACAGCATGGCTCACAAACTAGTGCAAAGAGTCTGAACACCTATTGAGCAAAACAAACCATCTTTATCCACTTTTGCTGTTTATGTATACTAATAAGTGGCAGCGGGTAATGCATCAATACTACATTATGCTTTATTGTTGTTTAGTCGTGCCTGACTCTTTGTGACCCCACAGACGAGAGAGCACGCCAGGCCCTCCTATCTTCCATCGCCTCCCGGAGTTGGCTCAAATTCATGTTGGTCGCTTCGGTGACCCTGCCCATCCATCGCATCACACTGTCCAGCCATCTCTGTAAGCACATTATGCTGTACAGAGTGTGAATTACTCCCTATCCACTGTCTTGCATGACGAGCTGAAGTATGCACAGCTGAAGTAAGGAAGCCCGTTGGTAGCATTTGATAAGCGATACCTGCCCCCAGCTCCTTTGTGTTCTCCGCACATGATGCAGCTTGCATGTCCTTTGCCTGTCTCTGAATCGTGGGCACACTGAAGCAGCTTAAACTTCACAAAATAGAAGACTGCTCCTCTCGGTACCAGGCCCGACACCAGTAAAAGTGTCTGTGAGGGTAGCAGGACTGAGAGAATGACACCCAAGCACACTCAGAATAGGAGACATTGTCCTTGAGATAGCTTGGACCCAAAGTTGTTTAGGGCTTTACATAGGCTAAATGGAGCACATTGAATTGTGCCTGGAAACAGACGAGGGTAGCAGGACTGAGAGAATGACACCCAAGCACACTCAGAATAGGAGACATTGTCCTTGAGATAGCTTGGACCCAAAGTTGTTTAGGGCTTTACATAGGCTAAATGGAGCACATTGAATTGTGCCTGGAAACAGATTGACAGCCAGTGGAGCTGCTGTAAAGGTTGTGTGTGTTATGTGATTTCTGTGGCCAACCCCAGTCTGACTGCCAGGTTTTGTACCCACAGAAGTTTCCTGACACTTTCCACATAGAGAGTGTTACAGTAATGTAGCCAGGATGTAACTAAGGTAGATGTCACCATGACCAAATCGGATCTCTCAAGAACCTTGTGCAGCTGGCACAATAGCTTTAACTGTGCAAAGGACTTTCGGCTATGGCTGAGACATGGGCATCCTGACTCTGAGACAAATCAAGTCCCAAAGTGCAGCTGAATCCCCATTTTTTGGGCACAAATTAAGACTAGGCTGGCATGCATATACTGTATATGGTACAGTAAGTTCAAAGATCAAACTCACTTTTTTGATCACATTGTAAGGCCAGCTGTATAGCAAATTTGGAAAAAATTCAAGGGGCAAATATACAAAAAATCCTGATATGGGTAGCACCTTTGGAAGCTTTCACACAACCTTCTTTGATCTCAAAAGAAAGGAGATGTACTATAAAGACCTTTTAACAAAAGATCAACAACTAAACAATATACGGGAGTCGAAGGAAATGGGCCAGCCAATGAACTGGTGGTCAATGTTGAAATTAGAATCAAGTTTTTAAAAAGATAATTGGTTTTTATGAAGGGAAGGCACAGGTGGATGACCTATGAATCTACAGTGGTGCCTCACTTAGCGATGTTAATCCGTGCAGCAAAAATCGCTGCTAAGTGATTTTATCGCAAAGCGATATTAAAAAGCCCATAGAAATGCATTAAAACCTGATTAATGCGTTCCTATGGGCTAAAAACTAACCTTAAAGCGAAGATCCTCCATAGAGGTTGCCATTTTCGGTGCCTCTAAAGCGAGGCAAAACAGAGGGTGGCCATTTTGTTTTCCCAGCGGCCATTTTGAAACCGCCGATCAGCTGTGCAAAAAAGGGCGCTTTGCGATTATCGCTTCCCCACAATCATCGCAGAGCGAATTTTCCCCATAGGGACCATCGCTAAATGATCGCTATTGCGATGGCAAAAAGTCCATCGCTAAGCGATTTCATTGCTATACGGAGCAATCGCTAAGCGAGGCACCACTGTATTTGTTGTTTAGTCATGTCCGACACTTCGTGTCCCCATGGACCAGAGCACGCCAGGCCCTCCTGTCTTCCACTGCCTCCCAGAATTGGATCAAATTCATATTGGTCGCTTCAATGACACTGTCCAACCATCTCATCCTCTGTCAGTTGAAAGAGGAGAGCACCAAAAATGATCTGAAGCTCAACATCAAAAAAGCTAAGATCTTTACTTATCACCTTGCCGACAAAGGTCCGCATAGTCAAAGCTATAGTTTTTCCAGTAGTGTCGTATGGAAGTGAGAGCTGTACCATAAAGAAGGCAGACCACTGAAGAATTGATGCTTTTGAATTGTGGTGCTGGAGGAGATTCTTGAGAGTCCCCTGGACTGCAAGGAGAACAAACCTATCCATTTTGAAGGAAATCAACCCTGAGTGCTCACTGGAAGGACAGATCCTAGAGCTGAGGCTCCAATACTTTGACCATCTCATGAGAAGACTCCCTGGAAAAGGCCCTGATGTTGGGAAAGTGTGAGGGCAAGAGGAGAAGGGGACGACAGAGGATGAGATGGTTGGACAGTGTCATTGAAGCGACCAATATGAATTTGATCCAATTCTGGGAGGCAGTGGAAGACAGGAGGGCCTGGCGTGCTCTGGTCCATGGGGACACGAAGTGTCGGACATGACTAAACAACAAATACAGTGGTGCCTCGCTTAGCGATTGCTCCGTATAGCAATGAAATCACTTAGCGATGGACTTTTTGCCATCGCAATAGCGATCATTTAGCGATGGTCCCTATGGGGAAAATTCGCTCTGCGATGATTGTGGGGAAGCGATAATCGCAAAGCGCCCTTTTTTGCACAGCTGATCGGCGGTTTCAAAATGGCCGCTGGGAAAACAAAATGGCCACCCTCTGTTTTGCCTCGCTTTAGAGGCACCGAAAATGGCAACCTCTATGGAGGATCTTCGCTTTAAGGTTAGTTTTTAGCCCATAGGAACGCATTAATCAGGTTTTAATGCATTTCTATGGGCTTTTTAATATCGCTTTGCGATAAAATCACTTAGCAGCGATTTTTGCTGCACGGATTAACATCGCTAAGTGAGGCACCACTGTAGATTCATAGGTCATCCACCTGTGCCTTCCCTTCATAAAAACCAATTATCTTTTTAAAAACTTGATTCTAATTTCAACATTGACCACCAGTTCATTGGCTGGCCCATTTCCTTCGACTCCCGTATATTGTTTAGTTGTTGATCTTTTGTTAAAAGGTCTTTATAGTACATCTCCTTTCTTTTGAGATCAAAGAAGGTTGTGTGAAAGCTTCCAAAGGTGCTACCCATATCAGGATTTTTTGTATATTTGCCCCTTGAATTTTTTCCAAATTTGCTATACAGCTGGCCTTACAATGTGATCAAAAAAGTGAGTTTGATCTTTGAACTTACTGTACCATATACAGTATATGCATGCCAGCCTAGTCTTAATTTGTGCCCTTCCAAATTTTAAGAGTCTTAGATCCTCCAAACTAATTCATTCCTTCATCCAGTTCAGTGTGTGGGCTTTGTAGTGGTGCCTCGCTTAACGATGATAATCCGTCCCAGGAAAATCGTTAAGTGAAAGTGTCGTAAAGCGAAATTTTAAAACCCGTTTAAATGCATTGAAAACAATTCAATGCGTTCCAGTGGGTTAAAAACTCACCATCCAGCAAAGATCCTCCATATAGCAGCCATTTTCGGTGCTTGTATAGCAAGGAATCCGTCCCTATGCACAGCGGGAGTCATTTTATGCACCCGGTGGCCATTTTGAAAACCTGACGATCAGCTGTTTTTGATCGTCGTGAAGCAAAAATCGGTTCCCTAAGCAGGAAACCGATCATCGCTAAGCGAAATTTCCCCATTTAGATCATCGTTTTACGATCGCAATTGCGATCGCAGAAACATTGTCATAAAGCAGATTTGTCGTAATGCGGGGCAATCATTAAGCGGGGCAGGACTGTAAACAGTTTGGTAGACCCATTCCTCCTCTTTCTTTTAAGTCCTGCAGTACTTTGACTTTTATTCTTGGTTTTTTAGCTTTTCTTAGTAAACACAGTGTCTACATCCTTAAAATACTTGTAATTCAGCAAATTTTGGAACAACAACCTAACCCATCCCAACCTCACAGGACTCCCCATTTGTGAGGCTTGAGGGGATGGGAATCCTCCTGTTTTTCAGTGAAAGGGTTGGCCAACTGGAGGTAGGGGCCCTCCAGAAAAGAGCAGGGCCACATCTGGCCCACCCAATATCTCAATGATCTTCTGTGGCTTTCAGAATGAGTCTAGTCAGTTGCTGGAAATGATCCTAGTGAGCAGATTTGAGAAGTCTATGACAAATAATAAAAAAACCTTCCCATGAGTCTAGGACCGACATAACAAAAGTGGTTTCCCCCCTCTG